TGTGCCACCATGCCCAGCTAATTTTTGTACTTTTAGTAGAGACGAGGTTTCACTGTGTTAGCCAGAATGGTCTCAATCTCCTGACCTCGTGTTCCACCCGCCTCAGTTTCCCAAAGTGCTGGGATTACAGGAGTGAGCCACTGCGCCCAACTAGGAAAAAGTAATCTTAAAAAAGGCATATTTAGGAAAGCAACCCTGATTTTTACTTAGGAACTTCACATTTTCAAATGCTACTTCTAATATAATGGTAACAGATACATTTTGAAGCACATCTTGGGATAGAATTAGCGAAACTTGTCTTGATATCTGCAGACTATTGCCCACATCCAATTCATTTTCTGCTATTTTTCAATAAGTAATTAAAGAAGAATCCCCTCTGAGTTATCTAGTCTGCTATTGCGGGCCATTTGCTATCAACACAAAGTTCTCAATTAGCTCCAGTGTTGTTATAATTACCGGACGTGTTTTCAAACAACTCCCAGTTAATAACTGTTGGGATGAAGAGTCATTTTCTCACTATAGACTAGACTGTGCACGTTCATGCTTGCTGTGATGTTTTGACAATGATTCATTAACCAATAATAAGGCCCCAATTGGAACCATTAGGCATCAGTGCCTCTGCTAGGCTTACCTTTTATTTTGTTCCTCAACATTGTCTTTTCTTGACTTGGTTTCTGGATAACTCCCAAGAGACTCCTTACTATACAAAACAATATCAGGAAGACAGCTGTCATTAAATTCAGCTACTTGTAAAAAAAAAAGCTCCCTTTAAGAGGATGCTCTTGTTGGAAACTCAAGATGGAAAAACACAATTAAAAGGAGGCTTTAATAAGAGAGAATACATGGTTAAATGTCCTTTATTTGCACCAGTTTATAGACATTAGGCAGATTGGGTACTGTGTCTTTCAATGGCATGTATATAACATCTAGTCAAATACAGGGGCGCCATCATTACATCACTTAAGTTTGAAGTTTTTTGTTTTCTAATTCAATTATTTTTTGTTTTTGAATATTTGAAACAGAAATGCTACAAAATTGATCACTGATCCAATTTGGGCCTATAAAAGATCACTACTGTTGTCATTAGTACAATTTACTTTAAAACAGGAGCAAAAAACGTGTTTGTCATTCCCTGTTTTTGCAAAATGTCTCCCCTTAGTATTATGGTAGTTCAGAGACATTCTGCTATATTTCACTATTGTGAGATGACGTGGAGCCAAATGAAGGGCCACTTTGATCCATTCTTTGATTTCAACCCCAAACTTTCAGCAAATATGTTTTATTTCCTAGCCAAAGTTATTTTAGATGCCACATGGCACTATATAAAGAAATTTATTGTCCTCGAGTCTTATGTACTGGATAGTAAAGAGTTGCCTGGGAGGTAAGAATCCTGTTGAATGTTGTTTGATGGGAACTGAATCACTTAAGCTGCTTCAGCTAAGTTTGGGTTCTTGACAGTAGGTGTGAAAGTGAAGGATTTAACAATGATTAAGCTAACAGAAAAACAGTATGGGAAGTTTTTGAAATGTTCTGGAAAAAAGAAAATAAATAGTGTCTCTTTTATTGGTCATTTTCTAAGTTTGAGTTGCTTTATATGTGTATTCTAATTTTATCAATGTAGTAAAGAGTTGGCAGATTGTACATGCTAAAAAAGTATTAGGTACATAGTAATGCATATTTCTAAAAACTGAACTTGGTGGAAATTCAGGTCCAAAATAGAAATTCATAGCAACTATATGTTGCTTGTCCACACAGAGAAACAACGACAACCTCCTTCCATCGACAAATAAACAGTACTGTTCCTGGTGTTGAAGGATGGGAGATTCAGACCTGGCTACCCTCCCATTACTCTCAGTAGGACTGATGGACTTCGAGTCATGTAGCCTTTCTCTTCACCTCCATTTCCTCTTCTGAAAAACTGGCAGTTGAATGTGATAAACTCTTTCCAAGCTCTAAATTCTTTTAAGATATTCTAATACAAATGGAATATTTAAAAATTTTTACCCTGTCCCTTTAAATACGAATGTCTCTATATGCATTCTTTTTCTCTTCCAGATTAAGTTAGAATTTAAGGCCATTTCGGAAACAATTAATGAAGGTTATTCATTTTACCTCATATTTCTAGAAATGTCTTCCTGCACCCAGAAGGGGCCTCTTCTCTTACAAATACATTTTAGGAGCATTTTGGCCTGTGATTTTCCTGAGTCTAATGCCTCATATATTACATTTTCCAAATCTCACTGAAACATGATTCACCAGTTTCTGTTTATCTTCAGATACTTGTTACTTTGCAGACTCTCAATTCTAACTGCTTACAGTTTTAAGAGAAGGTTTCGTATGGGCACTTTTTACGCTACATTCCAGTACATGTAAAATATATACAACATAGGAGTAAATTTCCAAAGCAGTCCTTACAATACACGTATAGACAAACAGATTTGCCCCAAATTGATGTTCAAAATATCCACTTCTGAATATGCCTATCTAAAAATGTAATGTCCATCTAATATAAGGAAGAAAGTAAAAAAATTAAACTCTCCAGTAATTATTTTAAGACTGGGAATTCTTGCAATATTAAAAAAGGTTAAAAAACTAAAAAATATTTATTGACATTTGTATTCAGTAGTAAACTATGGAATGCTTTTGTCTTATCTATTTGTGTGTGTGTGTGAAAACACACATTTGACAATATTTTAAGATATTTGTGATGGTAAGATGGCCAGCAAATTTATGTACTTGGAGTAAGGAGCTTTGATAAAGTGTGTCTCTCAGAGGTGCCTGCATCAGGTGTTTCTGGACTTGTTGGAGGGTTTCTAACTAATGTCTTGATGCTCTCTTAGAATAACATTAGGATTTGTTCTATCTGAGCAGGCACAACCAGATGTACCTTCATTTTTTTCAACTTTATTTCTTTATTTATTTGTGTTTCATTCAATTGTCACTTTATTGCAAGATGGTAGAATTAATTACAAATTTAAACTATAACCTGGTAATCTTTAGTCAGGCACCAAGATTTAATAAAGGCAAACCGCTTATTCAAAAGCGATCATAGGGCCAAGCGTAGTAGCTAATGCCTGTAATCCCAGCACTTTGGAAGGCCAAGGTGGGTGGATCACCTGAGATCAGGAGCTCGAGACCAGCCTGATCAACATGGCGAAACCCTGTCTCTACCAAAAGTATAAAAATTAGCCAGACGCGGTAGTGCACGCCTGCAATCCCAGCTATTCAGGAGGCTGAGACAGGAGAATCGCTTGAATCCAGGAGGCAGAGTTTGCAGTGAGCCGAGATTGTGCCACTGCACTCCAGCCTGGGCGACAGAGCGGGAGTCCGTCTAAAAACAACAACAACAGCAACAAAAAACAATAAAAAAGTGATCATGGAACAACTCAAATGCCCAGTAAGAAGGATGGGAAACATCTGACTGGCCAACAGATTGAGTTCTCTCAGTATAGTGAACAAATGTTTCATTTTTAGGAGATAGAAACTATCTACTTCAGTAGAGGGCAATAGAGAAAGATTTCGCCACATAGACTAGTTTCCATTAGTCAGTCAACTGTTTCTGGCTGTCCCAATTGGGATAGATACATTTACATAACTGGCTGGGCATGAACCTTCTTTGCCAACAGCTTTAGGTCCCAAATGCACTTGGCAATTGTCTCCTTTTCCTGCTGTGCAGAGATGCTCTGCACCACGTGCTTCTCCACCCAATTTATCATGTGCTCTTGTTCCTTTCAACGCATCATGTTCTGCACAGATATGTGATAGTCCAGGTGATTCTTTACTTCCTTATACACTCTATGCAGTCATTCCCAGTAAGTAACCTTCAAAGCCATAGCAATGTTATTCCTCTGCACATCAAAAAGGTAATGGCGCTTCTGAACCAGTGAGCACTGCGACTTCTCCAAATCAATTGCATCCTGGATTTGTTTGATGGAAGCCTGCTTCACCTCTTCTAGTTTGGGCAGTGTCTTGCTCATTGAGTTTATAAGCAGATTCTCCAATAGAGGCACCATATTTTTAAATTACAGAAAGTAACCCTACTATTGATATAGTAGAGAAGGTCTCTGTGGTAATCATGTATATTTCTTTGGATAAAGCGTACAAGATAAGTCCATTTTGGAGCACATAGTGTCCTGTTATACTGCTTTTAGGATAAAGAAATTGGAAGAATTCCTCAGGGATCAGCCCCAAATGAACTTTTCCTCTATAGGAAAAGGAAGGAGGAGGGGGTAGAGGGGCAAGGAGTCGCTGCCCTGTGTGAAAGGTCCTTGTCGCCTGCAATACCCCTGGACCTAGGAAAACTGCATTCTACAGAGAGGGGGCCACTGTGGCAGTGGCAGAAAGCGCCACCCAGGACAGCATGGTCGGCGAAGACACAGGCAGCCAGCTGTCTTCACATCCCTGAGACCCCGACCAGAGAATGTGTCAGGGCAGGAACCTTTTGTTGCTGTTGTTGAGACAGAGTCTTGATCTGTTGCTCAGGCTGGAGTGGAGTGGCACAATCTCGGCTCACTGTGACTTCCGCCTCCTGGGTTCAAGCGATTCTCGTGCCTCAGCCTTCTGAGTACCTGGGACTATAGACATGCACCACCACGCCTAGCTAATTTTTGTATTTTTAGTAGAGATGGGGTTTCACCATGTTGCCCAGGCTGGTCTCAAACTCCTGGCCTCAAGCAATTCACCTGCCTCAGCTTCTCAAAGTGCTGGGATTACAGGCGTGAGCCACCGGGCCCGGCCTCAACTTTATTTATATATATATACACACACACACACATATATATATATATATGCCCTTTGCCAAACTTGGAGATTTTAGTAACATTTTGAAATGTTATCACAAAATTTACGGATGACTGAGTTCATTTTAGGAGAAACTGAAGTGTTTACGCTTGTTTTTCTTACTAGGAAGGTAAGAGAGAAACACAGCTACATTTATTTCTGGGTAACTTTAAGGTTTCCATTACGCTAAGGAATGGGGTAGAGATTAAGAAATCAAAAGATCAATATAAAACCAAAAGCTTTATTCTCTAGTTATTATTCAGCTCCAATTCTAACTGATTTGAAAATAAATAATTAAAAAAATTCCTTCCTAGAAAGTAAAATATGGCACCATAATCCAATTGGGCCTCATATTTTAAATCCTGCAGAAAGCAAGCATGGGCTGCAGACAGATGATAATAATAAGCCATTACTCTCAACGCAGAGAAGGTGGGTGGCACTTCTTTTCTCCGCGTCCATTCCTGGACCAATTTTGGTCTCCTTCCTATCAAATGTTGTCTATACGATGTGAAGGACTTTGAAAGCAGCCACAGCCTGTTTTTCCCTTTCGTGTCTGTTCTGTAGTATTTCCAGCAGTGAGATTTCAGGTAAACTTTCTTCTTTCCCAGCATAGGTTGGGTTTTTTTGTTCCTTTGATGCTTGATGAGTCAGATTTGATGGTTTGGGTTTGGGGATGGTCTTAGCGTATTCCAAAGCCTAAACGCATAAAGATGAAATTTTATTTGAAATGCGAAGTGAGCCTGGATTCCTTAAATAAAATCTAGGAAATGTTTGTTCATAATATAAATGGAGAAAAATCACTATAACTTACTAAGACATTGGTGGAAATGGAGATCAAATAATGCAATATAACACACAGTTTAAACAAAATATATTAGCCCCAAAACAATATATTGTGGAAAAAAAGGAGTTGAAGAATAATACATACAGTTGTGTCCTTTGGATGCTTTTGTCATAAAACTGAGTTTCCTTCAAGTGTTCCTTCTTATGTGTTTGGTCTACTTAGTTTCTGGAAGTCTTAGTAAAACCAAACTTCTGTTAAGGAGATACTAATAGACCTTTCTATCCAAAGAAGACTTGTTACAGCTTGAGACCAAAGACATCACTGTAGTTTACATACACTTGAGCTCCCATCATTATACCGGATATTCTTGTTCCTAGGATCTAGAAAGTATTCGAGGTTGAATTGTTTTCCTTTCTATAGCAATCTAGATGCTGAAAAACGCAGTCTTTTTCTCAGTGATGTCAGTTATGAAAGGCATTACTATAAAAATGAGATCACTAAATAGGATTTCTAAACCTGCCTTTATAACAGTTTTGCATTTTAGTAAGAGATTGTTGATAGCTGAAATACAAATGGATTGTACGCTTTCAGTCCTGCAAGAGGGAAAAAAAGCCTCTAAAATGTAGAAAGGAAAAGTCTAGACTTCTCAGTGCATGTAGGTGAAGGTTACAGATATTTCTAATTATAGGTTTGTTGCCTTGAAACACTTCATGAAAAAATAAGGGATTAGAGAAAAAAGAAAAAGTAGCACCATAGAAACTCAATCAAGTGGATTGAGGTCTTCAAGGTCTGAGGAAGAAAGGCAATAAATAGAAAATATGATGGTCTGTGAAAGAGAACATGAAGTACAAATTCCTGCAGGCACCAAAGGATCTCTTGTTCCTCGTGCAAAGGGTCCCGTGTCCTTACAGGGACTGGATAGATCAATTGAGGCAGAGACTTGTACTGCAAAGCTCTGTGTACATATTTCATTCACATCATGACTGATGGTTGATGCCATCTGAGAGGGAGAACATTCTGTATTCCATGAAATCATTTTTCTTCAATAGAGGAACTTATATACTACAATCCTTACGGAAAGTGTAGGGGAATGAAGTTGAGAGAAACAATGATTATGTGTCTTTTCTTTGACATATAAGCAGCAAGAAGACAACAACTGCCTTAAAGTTTATTTAATGATACAAAATAAAATTGATGATGAAGCTTGCTCATTTAAGAAATCACATGATTATTTAATTTTTATGTGTGACAAATTTAAAATACTGTTCTTGGAAGAAAAGACGTGGAGACAATCACTTCAGGAAAAATAAAGGTTAACTTTACAGCATCGTGTGTGTGCGTGTGTGTGTGTGTGTGTGTGTGTGTGTGTGACTATTGCATTGCTATTTGTGAATGATGGGTAGCTATAGGAATGGAAGTAGTTAAAACATCTCCTGTGTTCCAAAAAACATGGGCAGGTTTTTCTTAAGTTACAAGAAAACAGGTTGGGTGTGTTGGCTCTGCCTGTAATCCCAGCACTTTGGGCTTAGTTGGCAGGATAGCTTGAGCCCAGGAGTTTATGACCATCCTGGGCAAGACAGCAAGACCCTGTTGCTAATCAAAAAAAAAAAAATAGAGCGGTAATAAAAGTTTCCTTTTAATTCTGATTGAAAAAATAAATGCCTTGTTGAGAATTTCTTACCTTCTGCCGAGGGATAGCAGATTTATTTTGAGCTTTTTCTGTTTGTGGTTTTGATAGAACGGATAGTGTCTTCATGTTGTACTCCTTGACTTGTTTTGCATATTCCTTTTGGTGTATTAATTTTTGCGTCTGTTCAGAGAAACAAAGTTGTGATGAATCCAGGTGCTGCTACTCCTCTCTGCTCTCTATTTAAAACGATGCCCTGGTTTTGGTATACTGGGCATATCTTATCAGCTGTACAGGAGAAATGGGATCACCTAGAGTAAGGTGGCAGCAGTGAAATGGTTAAGTTAATTGTTTCTCCTTGAAATAGTCTCTCTGTGAGGAGGCACCTCACTGCAATAGCACGCCCAGTATGCCCTTAACAGGGGCTAAATCACATTCAGAACCTTCTTTGTTGCATTTACCCAATTTATTTTCATTTTTGCTTCCAACTTTGAACTATACTCTCTTTTTATGCCTTGAGTGCAACTGCAGTTAAAACACATTAAATGAAGATCTCCTTTCACTAGAGGAAAGAGAATAAAGTGGATGCACTTTTCAGGGGTTGGGAAACTCTTCCTGTAAGTGTCTTCTCTGTAGCCACTCTTCACGATTATCAAGATAACTAGTGGGAAAGACCAACGACCACATAACATACACATTTATTTTCATGTGCACGGGTCCCACTGTGCCGTGCAGGCCTTCAAAACTAACTGAAAGACAGATACATATAACAACATGGGCTACATATTTTTATTTTAAGGCAAGAGGCTCTAAGTCCGGGTCTCTATACCAATGTTATTTCGGAAGGGTCTCTATTCAGAGTGAGACATTTGAATTAGGGCTTAATTCTGGGGGCGCGTCTTCATAAAGTTTCCTAACAGACAGATGGGCTGAGTCAGGTCTGGAAACACTGTATGTGCATCTCACTCACTTTGTCTCTGATGGACTCAAAGTCAGGTCCGAGGCCTCCAAGCTTCACGTCTCTTTTCTGATAACCTTTCAGCTTGCTGTTCTAAAAATACAACCACAGAAACAGTTTCTTTTAAGGACTTGTGTGTCCCCCTACTCCTACCACTCCGAAAGGTGTCATAGCCACATCAAGTAAGAAGGAAAATAATGAAAGCCTGTGTGCACTGTCAGAGAATGGCTGCATTTCCAGACACTTCTTCCATTTTAGTGGTCGTTATTGGTAATAGTCTCTTTGGTAATTTGTAGCTGGTTAGCGAACATGTTTTCACTTTTCCACTTCTGCAATAAAGAAACTTGAAATTCTGAAATTACAAATAAAAGTTTTCAAGCTAGTGATGTCCTGTTTTCTTATGAATGTTTTTTATTTTATTTTTTTTGGAGATACCTGATTTTGCTATGTTGCCCAGGCTGGTCTTGAACTCCTGGGCTTGAACTCCTGAGCTTAAGTGATCCTCCCACCTCAGCCTCTTGAGTCGCTGGGATTACAGATGTGAGCCACTTCACCTGGCCCTTGCTATTAACGTTTTTAACACAACATATATGTCATTACTTTGCCACTGCTCCTATTACCATTTTGTCCAGTCTTAGACAGTTTGCTGAGCCAAATAACTTCCCTGGAAGAGAGCATCGAAACGCATGAGATAAACACAGAGCTTCAAAAAGAGAATACCCCGTCCAGTGATGTCACAGCATTACCTGTTAGAGCCACTCCAGAAGAGAGGAAGGTACCAACCTTTCAAGTTTTGCTATTGATTATTGGGGGGAAAAGATAATTTTAAGGGAAAAACAATTATAATCCATTTATAATATTCAAAAGAAAAGTAAGCATTTGAGAGTCTTGGCAAGACTCACTAAGAAACTCACTTTGTTCAGTCTGTGTGATTTCAGATATGTTGAAGGGCACACAGAATTTAATATGACAACTCTTATTAGTATTGCCTATTTAAAAGGATGGACAGCAAGAAAGTGAGACAGCTGACTGATTAGATCATGGCAGCTGAACACAATAATAGGCAGGAAAAAACCCTAATATTCTACTGCCTGTCTATCCCCTGATAGATTAAGATATCCCCCAAACCACTGCTTTCAAAATTGAAACTGAAGTTTAGGCTGGGCATGGTGACTTATGCCTGTAACACCAGCACTTTGGGAGGCTGAAGTGAGCAGATCACCTGAGGTTAGAAGTTCGAGACCAGCCTGGCCAGGGTGAAACAACCTGTCTCTTCTAAAAATACAAAAAAAATTAGCTGGGCATGGTGGTGGGTTCCTGTAATCCCAGCTACTTAGGAGGCTGAGGCAGGAGAATCACTTGAACCTGGGAGGCGGAGGTTGCAGTGAGCCGAGATCGCACCACTGCACTCCAGCCTGGGTTGACAGAGCGAGACTCTGTTTTAAGAAAAAAAAAAAAACAAAAAACACAAAAAACACAAAAAATCCCCTGAAGTTTAGACTCACTACTTCCCCTTACAGGGACTCACATCCTTTTGAAATTTCAGTTTGTTAATTAATTTGGCTTCCTTTTTGGGAAGGATGGGAAAGACAATGTAAAAGAGGTGGTTGGATGACAGTAGTTTCTTAAGGCACATGTAAGTTACTGCTTAAAATGGAGAAAAATCCACCACATTGAAGAAGCAGCTGTCGTGTACCTAACTGTGGATGTTAGTCCCTGTCTATATGTTAATGACAAAGCACAGGATTTTTATCAATTTTGAAATCTCCTGTTAATTATTCCATTTTAAAAATTTTATCTATTTATTTAGTTTGAGGCCAGGTTATGAGACTAATTTTTGTACTTTTGGTAGAGACGGGGTTTCACCACGTTGGCCAAGCTGGTTTCAAACTCCTGGCCTCAAGTGATCCAGCCACTTCGGCCTCCCAAAGTGCTGAGATTACAGGTCTGAGCCACCGCGACCAGCTGTGCTCCTGTTAATTATTAAGTCCTAAGATATACATCTAACTTGCCCTTTTCTAAGACAAAACTTAGCAGAGATAGTCCAGAGACTTAATATAGGACATTTTCTCATATTAGATATAATTATTGCATATAACTCTCCAATCTTAAAAATGAACTTGTATAAACACACTGTATCAACCACTACAAGAACATGTCCTGCTCACTGTGGTCTACTGAGTACCCAGAGTCATCCCAATTCACTTCTCCACTGCCACTTCCCACTGTTGATGTTCAAAAGACAAACATTCTCCAGCACTGACTCCTCAGCACTGAGCTCTTGCCTATGAAGTCTAAGCAAAAGTTTGTTGGGTACAGTGTATATTTTGGAAAGCTTTAAGGCTGTGGTAGCCCCTTCCCCTTCCTTTTTTCTTGGCTCAAATAAGGATATGATTCCTGGAGCTGGAGCTGCAGCAGCAATTTTGTAGCCAGGGAAAAAAGAGAATCACAATACTGGTTCTGATGTTCTGAGCTGTGGAACCACCAGTGCTAGCAATCACCTACTTGTGGATTAATTTGTATGTAAGAAGAATGAACTCATATTTCAGAAATCACTGTAAATGGTAATTGTGTTACTTGCCCACTGAAGGCAATATTCCTAACATCTCAGCACTTTCATGTTGCATTAATAATTTAAAAAGGCCAAAATGATGCGCTATATGGGCAACACTTCTACACTGCAAGGATTCCAAGTTCTGTAAATAGAATTTGCCCCATTAGAATGTTAAACATTTATAGTCAATACTCTAATTCTAATTCTAAAAAGTGAAACAAGATTCTTAAAGAAGGCTTTGGACTAAAATCATTAAAAAATTAGCAACATTAAAGTATGCAGAAGACACATTGTTCATTGAAGGGTATTTCAAAGTCATACATCTCCTTTCAGAAAACAGAAGTCACCACTCAGCACAACCACGAGAGCTACTGCCTTTCCATTATATCTGTCTGTTCATACTTTTATACAATTGTCCATTCACTATGAATTCTTATTTTTTTCATTTCATTTTTTTTTTCTTTTTTCTTTCTTTCCTTTTCTTTTTTTTTTTTTGAGATGGAGTGTCACTCTGTCATCCAGGCTAGAGTATAATGGTGCGATCTCGGCTCACTGCAACCTCCACCTCCCGGTTTCCAGCGATTCTCCTGCCTCAGCCTCCCAAGTAGCTGGGATTACAGGCGCCCGCCACCATGTCTGGCTAATTTTTGTATTTTTAGTAGAGGCAGTGTTTCACCATGTTGGCCAGGCTGGTCTCGAACTCCTGACCTCAGGTGATCCACCAGCCTGGGCCTCCCAAAGTACTGGGATTACAGGGGTGAGCCACCACGCCCAGCCCAAATTCTTATTTTTTCTAAGCATTTTAGTACTACAGTACATTTTTCTGTCAGTATATATATTTTTTAATGTGAGTTTTATGCATGACATTCTATCATCTAGTTTTGTTGGACTGTTTATTCCTCTAAATGTTGAACATTTAAGCTGTCCTAGGTTAAGCATTGTTTTTCTGGGCTACTTTGATTATTTCTTTGAGATAAGTTAATAGCAGTAGAATTATTGAAATAAAATGAATATGTTTAAGGCCATCAATTAATTAGCAATGGAGCCATAAGATTGCTCTTTTTGTCCAAACTTTGATTATACTGGGTATTATCACATTTTAAAACCTTTACCAATTTTCAGTGGGTGAATGAACTCAGACAACTTATATTTCACAATTGAAAATTTGTTCCTTCTCTCACATATGCCATCTGTATGGTGGTTTTGCAGTCACTGAATTACTATCTATTTGTCAAAGTAAACCAATAATTAAAAGGAAGGAAAAAACGCCTGCTCATGTCCAAGTCGTAAATCCAATTTGTCCAAAGGTGATGAGAAAGAAATGATCAGTGCTCACAAATCACATCCTAAGTCTGAAGCAGCTTAACTTCTAATCATTCCACTGACTTACAAAAGACACATTGTGAAGCATGAATAATTGCCCAGTGCTCTCCAGCCACAGTTCTTACTATCACCTACAATAAACATGTTGGCTATCACAGAATAACAGAGTCAGGGTCTAGTACTACACCTCGATATGAAGGGCCAGAGTGTGGCCCAAAGGGTGATCTCCAAGTGCTGCTGATCCCTTTACAGGATGGATGAAGTGCTTATAGCAAAGGGACTTTTCTCAAGGGATGGTGATGGCTCCTAACGGAGTTTGTTCTGGGTGACTGGCAATGAAAAATCTTGGATTTACTTAAGGTTGGCGCAAGTAATCTTGATTTGTTCTCAGAGGTGCAATTTTGTTTGATCTCTCTCCATCAAAAGTCTTTTTAGCAGCTTATAGAGATATAATTCACATACCACAAAATTTACCCACTTGAAGTTGTACAATACAATGGTTTTCAGTATATTCACCAAGTTGTGTAAACATCACCACATTCCAATGTTAGAACATTTTCATCACCCTGAAAAGAAATCCTGTCCCCATTAGCAGTCACTCCCTTTGCCCCCTCCACCTCCAGTCCTAGGCAACCACTAATCTACTTTCTGGCTCCTCAAAAGTCTTTTATAGTAAAAATAATCCCCCAGAATTCACTTTGATTTATCTCTCCATGGCTGTTACAAGACTAAAAGGTCATAGTAGCACAATATTTAAAAAAAAAAAAAAAAAGTAAATCAACAATGATAGTCTTGTTAAGTCTCCAAACACAAGGGGAACAAATTGGAAAATGCAGGCATGCTCTCAACCAATCCCTGATGAGATTTGCTGCTGGTCTTTGCATAAGATGTACACGAGGTGGCATCGACCGAGTCTGGCACCATCTGAGGATTGTTAAGGCCAGACCAGCCCCTCTGCACTGGTGTTCACACTTGATTGCTTTAGTGGACGATGGCATAGGACTTTCCTGATGCAAGGTTTGTACCAGGAATTAACCACAGTTCTTCTCAAGACAGCAGAGTTTTTAGTTGCAAACTTGGGACACAGTGTGCCCTGATTGGAAATGACATTGACTGTTCCTGTCAGGACCTGTTTCAGCTCTGAAAGGTGGTACCCTGCTGGGGGGCCACTGCAGAGCTATTCTCCAGAAAATTCCTCAGATGTGTAAGTGTGAGA